ATACGTTTGAATCCTCTTCCTTTGTTCAGCAAAGCACTGCAGGCCCCTCGAAAGTAATTAGAGTATAAAATTCGGTAGTATCCTTAAAAAAAGCAGTTCAAACAAACAAACAATTCGGTACTGTTGGCATTTTCAAATGTTCATGTGCTTTGACCCAGAAATTTCATGTTGAAGAAACAAATTTCAAAATGATGGGGGCAGAGATCAACATGGAAGGGCTTCTACAGTAGAAGTCAGTAACAACGCCCAGCGATGAGTCAATCAGAGCTAAACCTGTGCTGCCATAGTTCGCCCTTACTAGAACAATCTTCAGGGTCAGGCATGGAGCGCCGTGGGAGAGTGCTTGCCTTGCATGGGTGACACCCTCAGTTTCAGCCATGACACACACACACAACCCTGCCCGTCCCCTCTGGCCCCAAGAATGATCGACACGAAGAGAGGGGCCAATCCCATGACCCCGTGTCAATTCAAGCATCAGGACGCTATGACCAGGAATGCAATTAAGCATGCCCATACATGAACAAAGTCTGAATAGGGGACTGTGTGAAAATAATCCGCTATGGCATGGGGTGGAGGCAGGGGGCTGGTTTCTGGGGAAAAAAAAAAATTTTTTTTCCCCTCACTATCCAATTTTCAGTGTGATCACTCCATAGTGTTTACTTTCAATGGGCATACATGTAAACATGTATGTGCATAAGTAAAGATCTAGAGATAGCTACCCCCCTGCTTTGTCACGTCAGGGGTTGAGGAGACAATAACGCTAGCCTGCTTGCATGTGGCCAATCCCTGGAACCACATATGATGCCCTGAGCACCACCAAGGGTCCCTCCTGAGCACAGAGTCAACTAGTAGCCCCGGAGCACTGTGGGTATGGCCCCAAACCCAAAATAAAGTGAAATAAAATAGATGAGCACGTTCAGGTCAGAGTGAGAGAGAGAGTACAATGGGCAGGGTGTTTGCCTTGCACACTGCCAACCTGGATTCATTCCCTGGCACCCCAAAGGGTGCTTCGAGCACCACCAGGAGCGATCCCTAAGCATAGAACCAGGGGAAAGCCCTGAGCACCGCCAGGTGTGGCCCTCAAACCTACACACACATATATATATATATATATATATATATATATGCATGTCGGGAAATAATAAAGGCCCTCCCGTTGATCATCGATTTGCTCAAGCGGGCCCAGTAACGTCTCCATTGGAGACTTTGTTGTTACTGTGTCTGGCATATCGAATACGTCACGGAGAGCTTGCCAGGCTCTGCTGTGCGGGCGAGATACTCTCGGTAGCTTGCCGGGCTCTCCGAGAGGGGCGGAGGAATCGAACTCAGGTCGGCCATGTTGGCTGCGTGCAGGCAAACGTCCTACCGCTGTGCTATCACTCCAGCCCATATCGCTTCCTGCTCCAGTCGGAAAAAAAAAAAAAAGCAAATTTCCATTGTCTGCTATTCTGCTTTAAATAAAGATTAAGCAGATTATCTGGGGATTTGGGGACAGCTGGGGGCCAAACCCAGGGTTGCTCCCACGGGAGGCTGCATCTGACCACTGGGCCATCTCTCTGGCCCGGCACACGAAGCTGAGCAATTCTGAAAATGCAGAAGGAAACACAGGTCCCTTCCCCTACAGAGGTGACACTGCAGCCACAGGAGGTCAGCCACCCTTCCATCTCTTCACTGCAGTGCCCCACGCCCGTCTGACAGTTCCACTGTCTCGATCAAGAATCCACACACAGGGCTGGAGCGATAGCACAGCCGGGAGGTCGTTTGCCTTGCACACAGCCGACCCGGGTTAGATTTCCAGCATCCCATAGGGTCCCCCGAGCACCGCCAGGAGTGATTTCTGAGTGCATGAGCCAGGAGGAACCCCTGAGCATCACCGGGTGTGACCCAAAAAGAAAAAAGAAAATAATAATAACGAACCCACACACAGACTGGGCCTGAAACGGGGCCCTGCAGTCTGAGACTCTCACCGCCCGGGAAGCCCACCGAGAGCCTCGGGACCACAGGGGTGAGCTGGACGGAAACTGCCCGGTGGACACATGAGCCGCCTCGACTGCCACCAGGACAGAACTGCTCCAACTCTACACTGTCCACGTGGCACATTGGCCTGGACGGTGCTGGGGAATCTGACCCGACAGGAAGCTGCCCAGGAGAAGTACGTGCGTGCTTGCCCTGAGTGCAGGCCACGTTGGTGTGATGGTGGTGATCATCAAGGGTCACCTGAGCATCATCAGGAGTGACCCTGGGCACCAGGAGGCATGTCCCCCATGACACACCTCTAAATAAGACCATGTGCTGACTAGACCCAGGGGCCTAGGATCCTGTCCCGGGCCTATTCTGGAGCAGCAGTCCAGAAAAGACGATACCTCATGCCGGTGGAAGGAAGAGCAGAGCCCAAACCCCACAGCGAGGCAAAGTGCCTTCAGACGTGGTGCCACACTTCCTGCCTGGCTGCTTCAGTTTCCACTCCAAACGAAGCTCTAAGCTTTACACAGCATCTCCCCAAACCTACATGTGCTTCCAAATACGACCCTTGGTCCTTGCTCCTGCGCCTCCTGCTGCCCACGAGGCATCTCCAGCCAGGCGGGCTCAGACTCGCTCTCCGGTAACACCAGCTTAAAGGTCGCTGCTGGGGCTGGGCCTCTCCCAGGTCCCAGACTGTGCTTGAAACATTCCTAGCCCTATTGTGTGTGAAGCATTCCTAGCCCTACTGTGTGAAGCACTTCTAGCCCTACTGTGCGTGGAGCACTTCTAGCTCTACTGTGTGTGATGCACTTCTAGCCCTACTGATCACACTTGAGACCCCCACCACGAGCTCCAGCGGGCTGGGGGAGAGGAGCGCCGTCCATGGCCAACATACTGTTGGGCACACTGAGGGCATTTGCTAGCTGTGGACTAGTTCCATGGGAAGTTGAAAAGTGCTCCCAGAGAGAAGAAGATGCCACATTTACAGTGCGAGGCAGAGAAGCTGGAATTGCTCTGTGTCAGGGACATGCCATGGCCCAGGAAGTAGAAGGTCCCTACCTGGAACTTAAGAGGAAGGGAAGGGAGGGGAAGCCACCCCGAGGGGACTCCCAGGCACATTAGACGTGCGCAGGCGGGCTAGGGACTCACATGTGCACCTACATCATGACGGACACAAAGTCAAATATAGCATTTAACATCTAAAGATTCTAGTTTCAAAAATACATTTTAAGGCCCTATTTGGAGAGTCTTTCGGAAACAAAGCAAGCAACGGAACTTGACCCGTCCCCACCTGCTGGCTGGATCCAGAAGGCCCCTTGCACATAGCTCACCAGTGCTCACTCTGCCCCTCGATCCCGTTTCTCACCAAGACCGACAAGGGGCAGAATCTGGTAGGTTGGCACAAGCTCTCGCCTGGATCTCCCAAAACAACTCACCCAAGGGCTGCCCAAGCAGCCAAAAGGCTTGCGGTACAGAGATGCTCCGGACACAAATCTACTAGTCATTAGTTGGGTTGGTATTTTTTTTTTTTTTTTTTTTGCTTTTCTGGGTCACAGGGCTGGAGCGATAGCATAGTGGTAGGGCTTTTGCCTTGTGTGCGGCCGGCCCAGCCAAGCCAGGTTTGATTCCTCCACCCCTCTCAAAGAGCCCGGCAAGCTACAGAGAGTATCTCGCCAACACGCCAAAGCCTGGAAAGCTACCCGTGACATAGTTGATATGCTAAACACAGTAACAACAAGTCTCACAATGGAGAGGTTACTGGGCCCGCTCGAGCAAATCGATGAACAACGGGAGGACAGTGCTACAGTGCTTTTTGGGTCACACCCGGCGATGCTCAGGGGTTACTCCTGGCTCATGCACTCAGGAATTACTCCTGGCGGTGCTCCGGGGGACCATCTGGGATGGTGGGGATCAAACCCGGGTCGGCTGCATGCAAGGCAAACGCCCTACCCGCTGTGCTATTGCTCCCCATTAATTGTTTCTTGTCTGTTTGTTTGTGGTGCCCGAGGGGTTATCTCAGGGCTGAGGTATGCCACAGACCTCTGAGCCACCCTCCTGGCACCTCTGTTGGTTCTAAAACGCACTTTCGAGTACCCCGGCAGTAGTTCCGTTTAATCTAAGACGCTTCAGAACAGGGAATGCACTGCAGCTGCAGGCCCTGGGCTCGACCCCCGGCACCGCAAACAAAAGCTCTCCAGAATTAACAAGAACTTGGAAATTGTCATTTACGTGTGTGTGAATCCTTCAGAGAAATCAATTTTTAAATGTCAACAAAGCAGGATTTATACAGTAATGTCAACAAAGCAGGATTTATACAGTAATTTTAAATACATGCAATTATAAAACATAATATTAGAGCAATCTATAGGTTACTTAAGGAATATAATCATAATGCTTTTCATGCATCTTATCAGAACTTTTTTTTTTTTATGACATCTTATTGTCTCATTCCTACTTTGGACAAACTTGCAGGCTATCGAATGTAGCCTGCCCACAGGGCAGAGTCTGGCAAACTCCCGGTGGCGTACCAAATATGCCAAATACCAGTAACAATGATGGGTCTCATTCTCCTAAAGAGCCTTGAATATAATCTCAGGGCTAGGATGAAAAAGACGTTACTGGGGCCTGCTCGAGGCAATCGACGAATTTCATGCAAAAGCATCTATGTGCAGGATACAATCGAAAATGTGATTTAATATTTTCTCAAAGAATCTTGATGCTTTTTTTTTTTTTTTGCTTTTTGGGTCATACCTGGCAATGCACAGGGGTTATGCCTGACTCTTGACTCAGGAATTACTCCTGGTGGTGCTTGGGGGATCCTATGGGATGCCGGGGATCGAACCGTGTTGGCCGTGTGCAAGGCAAACGCCCTACCCGTTGTGTTACCACTCCAGCCCCAGAATCTTGATAATCCTGCTCCCTGGATTTCACATATTTTAAGATCAGTGACTCGTAGTTCCATCTACAACCACAGAATCCGCCAGATGTTAATTGAACGCACTTTACCCTTTGGAATTGTGGAAACACAAGCTGCTTACCTGGGGAGAAATAAACTGGGGAGGCACTTGCGCCCGGAGATTAGGGGAAGAATTTAGCGGCTGCACTGGTGTGTGCATACCTCTCGATTGTGCTGTGCTATTTCCAAACAGACCGTGATTGCCACCCTGCAAACAGAACAACCGTGTGAGAAATGCAGGGAATGAAGGAAACCGCAAAAGCAAACAGTTCAGGCTTTGTGTCTCTCTGAAGAACCCTATCCCGTGCTCTGCAGAACGGAGGGGTTTCAGGGAAAAGTTCCTGATCTTTGTCTTGGATGCTGGGGGGATGATTCGGATCAATCTGGGGGCTCACGTCATCACCACTCATGCCATCCGACGCCCGCCCTGACCACAAGGTCCGAGTGCAGCCAAGTTTTGCTCGCACTCAGCGTTTTTTCCTCCAGACTTAGAAGTACAGGCAATAAAATATTTACTTCGACTAGGGTGTTTTTAAAGACACCCTAGTTTTTTTTTTTTTTTTACCAAATTTACTCTCCAGCCTTGGGACTTAAGATCCATCTTACAAGGACACCCGAGCACAAATGCAGGCTTCTGAATGACATTAGTGACAGAACACCATTGGATGGCTGGATCGTGAACCAGCCCCACCCAGTGACGGGCGTGTCTCTGTGAGACCCTGATCCAACCAGACCCGCTTCTTCAGTAGGGGGGGACTGTGCTGGATACAGAGGGAAGAAAGGGGGAAAGTGAGCCACGATTCCAGGGACCACAAAGTATTACTCACCTGTAACTTTTTATTCAAATATTTGAGTATCAGTTTCTCGAGAGAAGCTTAACTCCCTGATTTCGGAAGGACCCACTCACGGGTGCACATCTAGACTAACGTCATCCAAGAATCACAGAACTCTGGCTCTCCTTTTGGATTTTTTGGGTGAAAATAAGTCCTCCTGCAGAGGAACTATGTTTGATACTGGGTGCTGTTCGACATCAGCTTTCCCCAGCTTCTCTAAGGCCTCGGGCTGGGCCCACCCTCCCGTCTGGAAGCCTTCCCCAAAACTTTCCTCATTTCACACCCAAATTAACGGACCCCCATTTTACACCCCCCCCCAACACCGTAAAACTCTCGGCATTCATCATCAAATCATACGGTAGCTCCATCCCCCTCTGTCGTCCCACTACCAGTCTAACCACGCTGCCGTGGGTGCGTGGAACCCGAAGACTCCTGGTCTGGAGGGCGGGCACCGCTAGGACTCACTGATTCAGACTCTCAGTGAGTCCCACCCAACGGGACAGTGAAGGCAACTGCCCCCACTCCATGTTCTCTGCAGTCATTGTCACCTTATCCCCGCAATCCTGGGGGTCAAGGAAGTTTCGAAGAAGACTTTTGTAATGGCATCACCAAGTTCTAGAGCACTAAAGATATTCCTATGGTGTAATGATTCAAAAACAGATTAAGGGACTGCTACAGGGAAATTAATGAACTTAAAAGTCTTCAAAATAAAAACGATTATCAACATAAAAGTGGAAATGGCAGTTAAACTCGTTGTCTATCTCATGGCAGAAAACAAAGAGATTGACCACTAATTTTTAATCTCCCAAAGGGCTGTTTAAACACGAAAAGACCTTTTAACTCTGGAAATTCTACTGCCTCTGCGTCTCCTGCCTCGCTAATCACACTACTCTAAGGCGAAATGGCTTGACGCTTCTAATTTTCCTAAGCGTGTCAGTAGCTTTCCCAGAAAAAGGGGCATTCGACTCACTGAGAACATCCTGCTAAAATCACTCTCGCAGCTGTGACACTAGTAACCTTGCCGTTCCATGTTATTTACTCCTAGACTGGATTCTGTGAATAGTGGGGATTCTGGTGGCCGCAGGACCCACAGTTTGGAAGCCCCAGAACTACTGATGAAGGGCAATTTTTCACTCTGACCTCTCTTTCAGAACGGTATGTTCAAAGGAATTTGCCCTTATGAATTTCTGTAAAATCAAGTCCCACCCCCTATTCCCACTAGCTGTTCCAGTCCTACCACCTGTTTTAGGTTTTCATTATCAAATGTTTTTAAAGTCATGTGTGCTTGGGGCTGGAAGCATAGCACAGCGGGGAGGGCGCTTGCCCTGCATGCGGCCGACCCGGGTTTGAATCCCAGCACCCCATATGGTCCCCTGAGCACCGCCAGGAGTGATTCCTGAGTGCAGGGCCAGGAGGAACCCCTGTGCAACACCAGGTGTGACCCAAAAAGAAAAAAAAAAAAGGTCATGTGTGCTCTTGGGTATGCCTGACTGGATAACAGTACAACAAATTAAGAGTGATTTATCAAAAATGCCATCCCAGACTTTTTACAAGGATCCCTGGCATCCTAAGTGGGCAGGTCATTTACAGAGATATACTTATTGCAAGCGTACAGGTTCAGTATTTACTGATAATAGAGTAGATTAAATGTAGATAGATGTATTAAGAGTAGGTTTTATCTAGGCTATTTCTAAAACTTTATCATTTTAAGTGTTAAAGAAACCTGAGTTTTCAGCTACTGGTGCTCTCTGTCTTAATTACAGTGTCTAATTCATAAAAATAAATAAAGAGGGGCCAGAGCAATACAGTGGGGAGGGTGTTTACCTTGCACACGGCCAACCCAGGTTTGATCCTCGGCATTCCACAGGGTCCCCTAAACACTACCAGGAGTAATTCCTGAGTGTAGAGCCAGTAGAAACCCCTGAGCATCGCTGGGTGTGACCCCAAAATTTAAATAAAGAACACTTACATACTCGGGCTGGGGAGATAGCTCCAAGGGCTGAAGAACATTCTGGAGGGCCTGGATTTGATACCTGGCACTATTTGGTCCCCTGAGGACCGCTAGGAGTGACCCTGAGCACCCCTGGGTATATATTGCCCCCAAACAGGAACAATACAAAACATGAATAAGCTGACTGTGATTTGCAAAGAAAATTCTTAAATTTTATGTACTTTGAAAAACAGGGGTCACCGGCAGAGGCTGGGAGGCCAGGGACCACCCCTGACAGTGCTTGGAGGACACCACAGGGTTGTAAACCCCGGAAAGCTGGGGTACTGGGAAGCACTCAGTACTTTCCCCAGCCCTTCCAGGAACTTACTAATTATAAAGTACCCTAAATCTACATGGAAATGGCCTGAGAAGGCCGCGGAGATCACCTGGATTAACAACGGACCCAACACCGAAAGGAAAGTCCTCTGGGAACCAGACACACAGTGCCTCTGCCTGGACCAACCATGCGATCCCGGAAGCATGTTTAAAACAACCTTTCACCAAGGATGTCATGACCGTTTCCTATTTTCTGCATCTCCACCCAAAAAATCCAATAGCTTTTTTTACTTATGCAATATGTACCCATGTCCTCAGTAGTAATATAACGAAAAATAGTGACTATAAAGAAAAAACAAAACAAAAAAACTTTTGAGCAACGCCCCATCCAAAGAGAACCTAGCAGAACACGCGGCTATTCTAGAATTCTCTCAGACACTGGGCCCCACCTGGCGGTGCCCAGGGGCTATCCTGGGCTGAGCTCTCGGGACCCTGTGACGCGGGGATGTCACCTCCGAGCACATGCCCAGGCCCTGTGATCTGTCTTTGCCGTGTGCTAAGGCAACAGTCAGAAAGCGCAGCGACACCCGTGTTCAGGCCGAGCCTGATACATGAGGTGGTTTGTATGGGGGGAAAAAGGGGGCTCCCCAGCTTCGCTCAGCGGGCTCAGGGGCCACTCCCAGAGGTTCTGGCCCTCCTGTGAAGGACCCTGGAAGCTGCTTGGGCCTTGAGTGCCACAGCTCACCAGAGCCACAATCAACGGTGGCTGTGGAGAGACACCGTCCATTGACCTTTCATTTGTATGTGAAAGTTTTCGTGTGAAAACAGGAACGGCAACCACTGGTGGCTGAGTGTCCTGCTGCGCTATCCTGAGGTAGAGGCCGGCCGTGAAACTAGTTAAGGAAATATCATCACTGGAGTGACGGCCAGGAGGACTGCCGGTCCTGATCTGCAGGGTCCGCTGCCCACAGGACCACGGAGCTACAGGTCTGTGGGAAGCCAGGATGCCAAGGGGTAACACGTCCTGCCAGCCCTCACCAGGAGAGGAGGCGAGACTCGGGTCCGTGGACATCACGCATGTCCCGCCAGCGCTGTGGGGTCTACAGACGCGCCCTTTCTCTGGGTAAGCGTTTCACTCAGCGGCACGATTCCAAGGCCGTCAGCCATACAGATTTCGTAGTGGTTTTATTATCTTTCACATCAGCAGTTTCCCTCAATTCAAAGACCTCAAAAGTTATTACTTGCCATTCAATCTCCCGTTCCAAACTGGCCTCAATGTACCGCCAAATGATAGTCTAAAAGGTGTGGGTGCTACTTCTTTTGCATTTTTCTAAGCTAGCTCTTAACTTCTTAACTATGAAATTTTATGACCAAAAAAAAAAAATGAGAAGGAAAAAGGCTTGGAAAACAACAACAACAACAACAAAAAAATCATGTGGAGAACCATGAAGAGAGATGGCTTCTAGGGGCTGGGCAGCTAACGCTTACACGGAGTATCGTTCTGCGCATTCAATAATCAACCGATTTCCCGCGACAGACAAATGACGCAACCAAACTGCGGCGCAGGGCCCACGGCCGGGCCGCAGCCGCGCAGGCAGAAAGGTCAGAGGCCTCCTTACTTGTCTAGCAGCGAAGTTTTGGGGGTTGAGCCCTGTGCCGATTGCTCCAAGGCTGACGTTGGGTAGTGTGGAACCAGAGGGAGACAGCTTGTAGCTGGGAGAAGGGGAGAAGGAAGAGCAGGGAGCCTCATCCCCAAGGCACCCGTCTTGATTGGAGAAAGGCAAAGTCAGCTGAAAAGCAGTAGGAGTTAGCCAGTCACAGTGCGTGTCGGTGAGCAAAGCAACAGCACGCAAGGGGGAGGGGGGGAGAGAGAGACACCAGGAATGAACACGGTTAAAGTGCAACAGCCATCACCGAGGACAGAGTTCGGATCTGATAACATCACACTTGGCCCGGCAGACACCATCCGTCACCCTCTTTGATCTAGAATCCTCCTCACCCTCGACGTTAATGACACGCGCTGCCCGTTGCACTAAGACAGGCGTTTCCAGGCACGTCTTTCTGCAGATTACGCTTTATCGGGATGACGCTCCCCGGCGGCGTTAACAGAAGCCAGAGTAATCCCGGGCGAGTGGTGCTATCTGGGCTGCACCCGGGGAGAGGAAAATGTGCTAGCGCTAACTTTGATTTTTAACTGCTTTTTTTTTGGAGAGTAGGAACACTGCAAATTGGTATTTCTGAATCCAGAAAATAACCTCCTCCACTGGAGATGTTTAGTTGTCAAAAAAGAGACTTAAATGACTCATTTGTATCCAGTAGCTGGGGAATTTTAAAAGGCACATACCGTCAGAACTAGACACAGATCTCTAGGGAAGAGGAGAAAGGTGAATTGTCTGAGGTTCAGCAAAAGAAAAAGTCTGGGTTGTCTTGACAGAAACAGAAGACAAGGTCTCAAAGAAGCGTAAAATTTGCCTATGGTCCCCAAAAATCTCATTTGTAAGTGCAGAATAGCAGAAGAGAGTTCAGAATAAAATTACCTCTGAGATTCCTTCTACAGATTTGGAACAGATATTTATTTCCCTTCGCGTCAAAGCATTTTCCCCCTTCAAACCTCGTGTATTTTTCAAAATTTACACCTTCTTTACGAAACTCACATCCCAGGTGAGGGTTCTACGCCTGCCCAATCACCTCCCATCAACCGTTCCTTGTTTTCAACGCAGGCGCTGTTTGCCTATGCTCACGAGTCCAATTCAGTACTTAGTTCTAGGCTTTCTCCTGAAATCAAGTATCAAAAGATAAACAGGAACCCAAACGGTTCTGGAGAATGATCTTCGAACAACGGCTCCACTCACCTTCTCGAAATAAGGCCCACTATCTGTGGTTCCCATGTCTTTGGAATTAGGTGGACGGAACCCAGATCGATCCTTCCTCATGATATCATTAAAATCCCCGAGATTCATTGCTCGCTTGTCCACATCAAATTTTTTGTCTGGAAGGCTCCCTGAAAAGCAGCACGGGCAGAGGGAAAAATTTCAAGAACCCAAGTCACCACCATGAGTAATGTGTATTTCCGGGGGCCCCACTATGCTCTCCCTCAAATACTAGCTCCTTCCAATGTCTGGACATAAAACCCCACAAAACTCTTCAGGAGTTCAGGCTTCCTTGTGTGAGGAATACCACTCACAAACTCAAATGTCCTTCACGAGGCATTTTGTCATTTTACTCTTCGAGCATATATTAGATAAATAATAAGAGTTGTAAGACAATAATCCTGGGAAGAAAAAGACCAAAAACCCATGGCATCACCATGGCCCTGAAATTCAGAACTTAGACCTGGATATGCAAGATGATGGCCACACCTTGCCCGGTGCACCTCCTAGGTGCAAGGATTTTCCCCACTTTTTTTTTTTTTTGTGGTAGCTGCCATAGTGCTGGGAGCACCCCAGGAGGTACTCAGGGGCTGCCCGGAAGAGTTTGGAGGGAGGGGCCCAACTTGGCACGGCTGAAGGTGCCCGAGATGTAACCCAAAGGCCTTGCCCACGCAGGGCATGAGCTCCCCGACTGAGCCACACCCCAGCCGTGACTTCCTCCACTTCTCCTTCAGAGATCTTTGAGCTCACTACTACTCACTGACAAAGCTCAGTGCTCCTGAAAGCGTATTCTCTCGTATTTTTTAAACATTGCAGCTCAGAGACCATTCCCTTGGCGGGGAGAGTGCTCAGGCGAGAGGCCGACACTGACCGCAGCACTTGTGACAAGCGTCAGTGAAGTGCGTCCACGGCAGACAGGACGGGCAACCAGGCAGCAGGGCCACTGGTTTTACTTAGCCACATGGAAAACCAATTTCCAGTCCACATACTCCAATGTCTAAACATCTGGGGACTGGGACAGGAGCAGAATTCTAGCCTCGCTCTGAACGCCGGGACCTGGCAAACTCGCTCCTGCTCTCCTGTCCTCACAGCTGGCCAAATGTGAGTCACTTGCTGACCACACTCAGCTGGTGCTCCCAGTCACCTGATTTGCTGAGCCCTAGTGCATCCCCTGAGTGACTGGGGGTCGGTCCCCGCCTTTAGGACCTGCGCCTGGTCTACCTCAGAGCGACCCCGGCATCCCGGCGGGGAATCAGTCACCGCCCACCACCCTGGGATACACACCTACAGACAAATCCATTTTGCTGCTTGGATTATCTTCAGTTTGACTCTGAAAAAATGAAGAACAGTGAGGAAGGGGTTAAGGCTGGAGTCAGATGAATGAGAGAGGAAATGGCACTAGCAAGATGACAGCCACAGAATACTTGAAGGGTGTTTTTTTTTGGGGGGGGGGGTTCTTTTTGGAGGGTTGGGTGGGAGGGCTTGGACACACCCGGTGTTGCTGAGAGCTTACTCCTTGTGGGTGCACTTGGATGATAATATGGGGTGCCTGGGATCGAACCTGGGTCTTCTGCATGTGAATCAACCGTCCTAACCTGTTGCACTATGGCTCTAGTCTCCTCTACAAGGTCTTTAGAAATAAGGCTACACTGGAATCAACACAGTGACTTTTTTGCTTGTTTGTTTTGGTTTGGTTTTGCCTTTGGACTGCACCTGGCGGTGCTCAGGGGACCATCTCAGGTGCCAGAGATCAGAGTGGGACTGGCTGCATGTGAGGCAAGCACCCTGCCTGCTATCCTATCTCTCAGGCTCCGGGACAGGAACCTTTTTTATCTGGGGCCATAACCTGCAGTGCTCGGGGTTACCCCTTACTCAGTGCTTCCAGCCTGTTTCTGGCAGTACCCAGGGATTCCCAAGTGCAAAGCGCGGGCTCAGCCCTTTGAGCCCTCTCCAGTCCTGCTAATGACAATTTTAATACAACTAAGTCGATTGCTACTGATGCCTAGTGCCTGCAATTTAATTTTTACACGAAATTAGCTTCCATAAATCTACGGGCAGAGCAACAGTTCTAAAACAACGGCTTGGGAGAAGTAAAGCCCTGTCCTCAAGTTCCAGCCGGCTCAGGATCAAATTTCACGAGTGTCAGCCAAATGATGACAACAACTTCTCGTGATTTGTTAGGTCACCAAATCTACAATGTGCAGTCAAGTCATTTGTGTTTTGGCACTAGGGGTAGGGGATCCCCACACTGTCCCGGGAGATAACAATGACCAAAAGCTCCACCAGAATTCCCTATACAATTAATCGCAAACGTTTTTTTCCCCCCGTTTCTCTAGATAAAATAAATTCTGCAAGAAAACAACAGTACGCTTCTCCAGTTATTTTGCCGCTGCGATCATCACACTAAAATAACACTAAAATCACGCAAGGGGCTGGAGTGATAGCACAGCAGGTAGGGCGTTTGCCTTGCACGCGGCTGACCCGGGTTCAATTCCCAGCATCCCATATGATCCCCCGGAACACAGGCAGGAGTGATTCCTGAATGGATGAGCCAAGACTAACCCCTGTGCAACGCCAAGTGTGACCCAAAAAACGCAAAAATAAAATAAAATAAAATTACGTGAAAATTGGCGCAATAGTGTTTTCAGGAGAAATTATATGAATTTCAAATATCTATCTCCCCCAACCCCCAAGAAAAGGTGTGTCTAATTTAAAAGCTATAATCATTAAATACTGGAGTCTTTCATTAAAAATAAAATAGAAAGGGGCTAGAGTGATAGCGCGGCGGGGAGGGCCCTTGCCTTGCATGCAACCCACCCAGGGTATCATCCTCAGTAACCCTAGATGGTCCCCTGATCCTCACCAGGAGTGATCCCTGAGCACAGAGCCAGGAGTAAGCTCTGAGCACAGTCAGATGTGGCCCCAAAACAAATAGAAAAAAATAGAGAACAAATACTGCTTGAGCAGTTTTAGTTTCTCGATTTATCATTCGGGGTAAGTAAACACGTAGCCGTAAGATATGCATGCACCATCAAAGTCGGGGCACATTACACGTATGAAATAACAGAACTTACCAGCAACCCCATATTTGAAAACTGTTTGGCAAGAGGATTCATCCACGAATCATTGTTTCCTCCCTTCAGTGAGCACTGCAGAACAGAGAAAAAAAAATCACTTCTGAATTGCAGAAGTACGGGTTGAAAACGCAGAACCAGGAATTTACCGTTTGAACTAAGTATTCCTTTTTAAGACGATTTTGGTATTTTCTACGTCACCAAGACTGAGAGGCCTTAGTTAGAGTCTTCTTGGTTTTCTTTTCTTCTTTTACTCACCACACGGAATGAGAAGGAACCAGAGAAATAGGCGGTCAGCTGCTTTTGCCTTGGTTTGGTTGGGGTGGGGGTGGGGAATAGTAAGGAAACGAGGGGACATCTCCGGGCAGGTCCTGGGACTGATGTATGGGCATGACGGTGCTGGGGGGGGGGGGGGGGGGTGGGGGGGCACCGAGTCCCATGTAGTCTTAGGGAACCAACTTGGGGTCTCGAACACGCTAAGCATGTGCTCCAACCCTTGGAGCTGCTGCCCATTGAAGACGACTTTGTTCTTTTTGCTGTGCCCAGGATGGAACCCAGTGCCTCAAGCATGCCTTTTTTTTTGTTTTGTTTTGTTTTTGGATCGCACCCAGCGCTGCTCAGGGGTTACTCCTGGCTTTGCACTCAGGAATTACTCCTGGTGGTGTTCGGGGCACCCTATGGGATGCCGGGGGATCGAATCTGGGCCAGCCACGTGGATGGTAAATGCCCTCCCCGCTGTACCGTCTTTCTGGCCCCGGGGACGAGTGTTCTACAGCCGTGCTATCCCCTACCCCCTGCCCCGGGCACGGTCGGTGTTTTCAACTTCATGGTCACTCTGAGAATTCCCGAGACCTAACTTTTGCAGGATAGTACTTTCTCTTGGGATTATCTTTTGTAACCTGGCTTTTGTTTAAGGAGAAAAGAAAAGGGGTTTGACGGCAGCGTGTTAGCCGGGAGGAGCCTCTGTGCTCCACACACCTCAGATGGATCGCGCGGGTGAGCACTGGAATCCGGGCCCAGGACCAGACCTCGGGGTACCCGGCACGTGAAACCTTGGCGAGCAGGAGCATTGCCTTGGGCGGCCAGATGCCGGGCTGAGGCTCCGACAGCTGCCGCGTCTAATTCCACCAACGTATCCGTAAACGAGAAAAGACCCAAAGACTTCTGTTCTAGATTAAGCGTGAATCCACAGCAAATTATGCAAAGCCGAGAAACGGGATCGTTCCAAGACAAGCTAATGGCAAGTTTGGAGCCCCACGAAGAGGATGTAAATGAGGCACCTGGCAGGCCGGGGCAGACACTCAGGGGCAGCTCGTTTTGCGAGGAGAAGGGTTCGAGCCCCTGGAATTCCCGAATCCACTCAAATCCGGTCATGCCCGTGGCCTCAGAGGACGGGTCTTGCCTTGGCTGCTCTTCTTACATATTCATGGGGACTTACTCTACGGACTTCCTTGGCTTTAGAATGTGAAAGTGTAAAAGTTAATTGAGAGCTTCCAAGGACTAATCATAATACGGAAACCAAAGTCAAAGAAAAACAACCAAAAAACACAATAAAATATACCTTCAAAATTCCCATTTTACCCAAAGGAACGGTTCTGCATTTCAAGGTCACAGAAAAGAAAGATGAAGGGAAAAGAGGAAGTCTTTAGATCTGAAGCAAAAATATTCCACCTTTACTTGGGGCCTCAGGGACCTCAGCTGCCCTAGTCTCTAGATGAAAAGGTTCTCAGTTCTACCATCTACAAAAAAATAAGCAAAAAGAAAAGAGCGCTCGCTCTCTCCCCCCCCCCCCACACACACATACAGAGAGAATAAAAGTAAGCTCAAACATCTTCAAAGCAGCCTACCTTCAACACACACACACTCACACACATACACTCTCTCTCACACACTCACTCTCACACACACACTCTCACACATTCACACACGCGCTCTTTCTCTCACACATATTCTCATACACACACTCTCACACACACAGATTATGCAAGTTCAAACGTCTTCAAAGAAGCCTACCTGCAACAAACACACTCACACACTCTCTCTCACACACACACGCTCTCACATTCTCTCACACACACACACTCTCTCTCTCTCACACACACACACATACTCCCTCTCGTACTCTCTTACACACACACGCTCTCTCACAACACACAGGTACACACACACACACACACAGATTACGCCAGCGCCAACGTCTTCAAAGCAGCTTACCTTCAACGCACACATACTCTCACACATACGCTCTCTCACTCACACCCTCACCCACACACACACACACACACACACACTCTCTCTCTCTCTCCCACACGCTCTTTCTCTCACACATACTCTCATACACACATTCTCACACACACAGATTATGCAAGTTCAAACGTCTTCAAAGCAGCCTACCTGCAACACACACACTCACACACGCTCTCACATTCTCTCACACACTCACACACTCTCTTACTCTCTCTCACACACACACACACACATATACTCCCTCTCGTACTCTCTTACAAACACACGCTCTCTCACAACACACAGGTACACACACACAGAGAGATGACGCCAGCGCCAAGGTCTTCAAAGCAGCCTACCTTCATTTGTTTCTTCCCTCCTTGTCCCCAGCTTGCTGAGTTGTGGGAGGAAGCGCTTCCCTGAGAGCCGGCGGTGTTCCAGACTCCTCCATCGTCCTCCTCTTCCCAGCTGGGATGGCGAGTTCCTGTCACTGGCCCGTCACTCTCCCCCCAGCCGTCTTGCATAGATTTGGAATCTTGAAGAAAAGAAAGAATCAAATGGAGGCGCGAGCCAACAGTTGCCCTAATAACCGCGGCGTGCACGCACAGCTTTCGAGTCGAACGGTAATTTTATCTACTCCATTTAAGCAGCAAGGAAATATTAATGACACTTAGAGGAAAGGAAACTGAAACCCGTCAAGGTTCAATGACATAGCATCAAGAGGGCAGACCTTCCCCCTACCTGGCTGACAAACATTCCAAACAGGAAAGAACATCACTTCTGTTACCAAGTTTCAAATCCCAAGGAAGAGAAATCGGTTCCTTTTACCGAAGGAGGCTCAGGGGTTACTCCTGGCTCTGCGCTCAGTAATCACTCCTGGCAGGGCTCGGGGGACCAAACGGGATGCTGGGAATTGAACCCGGGGCAGCCGCATGCAAGATAATGTCCTCCCTGCTGGGCTATATGGCCCCGGCCTCTAGAGATTGGTTTTTGAAAGTCTTAAAAGGACCGATACTTTTACTCATCATAAGTAAAGTAAAGGTAAAGGCCCTCCCGTTGATCGTCGATTTGCTCGAGCGGGCCCAGTAACGTCTCCATTGGAGACTTTGTTGTTACTGTGTCTGGCGTATCGAATACTCTCGGTAGCTTGCCGGGCTCTCCGAGAGGGGCGGAGGAACCGAACTCGGGTCGGCCATGTTGGCCGCTTGTAAGGCGAACGCCCTACCGCTGTGCTATTACTCATCATAAACGTTACTAATATGAGGCGTGAGAGGTCTTTCTGTTTGGGGGTCACACCCGACAGTGCTCAGGGATTACTCCTGGCTTTGCAACTCAGGAACTCACTCCTGGTGAGCTTGGGGGACCCTATGGGATGCCGGGGATGGAACCTGGGTCGGCTGCCTGCAAGGTAAGTGCCCTCCCCGCTGTACTATCGCTCAGCCCAAATCGGGCGAGGTGAAGGGAGAAAGGTGCACAAAGAAAAGAAAACAGAAAGTTTTTTTTTAGTATTTTAGATGTCAAAGTTATGACGGGAGAAAGGAAACTGACCTATAAGCGTGAAAGCTTGAAACTCATTAATACTGACTTGAAGGACATTAGATCCTAACAAGCTTCGACATGGGGACATCAGGTGACGGTTTTGGGTTTTGTCAGAGACAGGAGGAGGGAACGTGCAGTGGAGAAACAGGGAAGGGAGAGGAGACGGGGAAGGGAGAGCTGAGGGGTCCCACTGCGGTGGGAGGAGGCCCCAGGGGTCACTCCAGCATCTTATCTCCTTCCAAACAAAGATCTGGAACTTGGCCATTGAGATAGGGCCTCGCTTTCTCTCTGAAAACGCTGCAGGACACACTTTGTGGTAATGACGTGCTATGAAATGATGGAAAAGGCCGATGAGGTTATCGTGCTGGCCAGCCCCCGCGAGACTGTCCCCAGATGACGTGACTCCTGTGGCAGGGGGAGTTATCCGAGACCCACGGCTTCATCTGAAGAGCCCGGAGCCACGGAAGTGGCTTTCCAGGATTCAGCTGGAGATAAGGGTGTAAAGGCCACACGGGGCAGTTGGGGGTGGGTGGGGGGAGCGTATATGGTGCTGGGGTTCAAACCGGTGCTGGGGTTCAAACCGGGGCGTGCCACACCCTGGCACAGCTTCCTTCCTGTACCCTCTCCAGCCCGAGGGAGCTATTCCTGCTGTCAGAATCACCACTTAAACACCTTCTATAAGGCATCCCCTGGGGAGCAAGAAAGAATTCAAAATGCTACCACAGGGAGGGGAGGGTGGGGCAGGGGGCGGGGGTGATAGTGACCTCACCCTGGGGGAGTGGGCAGTACCAAACTGTCGTATGCATAAGAAACTATCACACACACCACCGTAAATCACAGAGTAAATTAAGTGAAACGTGCAGGACTGTGAAACAGGGCCAGAGAGAGCGTTGGACAGGCTGAGGTCAGGCCTTGAAGGACGGGTGCCAGAGCTGGACCCCAAGGAACCACATGGCCCCTGGGGCACACCCGAAGGTTACCCCCAGCACAGAGCCTGGCACCTGGGCACTGCTGGCAGCAACAACAAATGCAAAATAAACAGCAGACTGGTCGCCTCCTAAAAATGTAAATATCCATCTGCCATTCTTCCATATAAAGGGTTTTCTCTTGGTGCAGGGTGGCGCGCCCAGCGGTGCTCAGGCCTTACTGGTGCTGCAGTGTTCAGGGCTCACGCCTGGAGTGCTCAGGGGACCATATGGGCTCCCGCAGGGGATCAAGCCAGGGTTGGTCTTGCAAGCGCCCTACCCACTGGACTATTTCTCTGGCCCCAAGGTGAATTGTTAATAATCTTATAGGAAAGATTTTTTTTCCTTTTTTTTTTTTTTTTTTTTTTGCTTTTTGGGTCACACCCAGTGATGCACAGGGGTTACTCCTGACTCTGCACTCAGGAATCACTCCTACCGGTGCTCGGGGGACCATATGGGATGCTAGGAATCGAACCCGGGTTGCCTGTGTGCAAGGCAAATGCCCTACCCGCTGTGCTATCACTCCAGCCCCTCAAGTTCTCCTTTTTAGACACAGGAATATCACCAAAGGGCCCACAGTCCCAGGCTTCAGATTCTACAGACGAGAGCGGATCGGTGGGCCACAGGCTAACGACCAGCGTGAGTATGATGACCTAACCTCTCCGTCCATACTAGCCACTCAAATGGTCATTTGAGAACTCTCCATCTGACCCTGGCCACCACAGGTTTCGAGAGCCGGGCGGGGAGGGAGGGTTTGGCAATGGGAGAAGGTGATTCTCTCTAGTGCTGGGAAACTCAAAAATCCTGAAGTGCCACTGAAGTACCTCCTCGCGCCAAGGGTCTGGTTAACGTCTTGCAACAGCGTTCTGGATCTATGTCAAGTGCACACGCGATTTCCCACGACGATGTAACTGATTTTACAGTGGAAACCGTGATGAAAACAGGGCCTGTATAAAGCTATTTCGATAAAGGTGAAGAGTCACGCTTTTTACAAATGCAGCCAAGTTACACAGGCCAGAGAGCTCTGAAAAACGCCGAAACCCAGACCGATTCCTGCACGTGACACGGTTCCCAAACGGAACACAATAGACTCAACAGTGCGTCCTCCTTTCTTCTTTGAGTTCTAAATATTTGGTGCACCCACGGGTTTTTAGAAAAAAAAAAAATTCGAAAGACAATTCATTAGATATGCAACGTGGTAGAAAAAAGGAGGTTGGAGCACTTTGCAAGAAAACTAAAACCAGTGAAACTCGGCTCTGAAAAAAAAAATCGAATTTTTTCAATTGAAGAATATCCAGGGCGACATTCCATAGCATCAATTTACAAAATTTTGCAATTACGGAGACTACCCTGCGCCAGCTGGATCAAATATAGCTTAGACTTCAGCAGTTCGGAATAACGGTGACGTGCGTTGTTTAAAATATATTTAAGCGAAGAAATCTTTGTTGGCTTTCAGGAGACCTTACATGTGCCTGCGTGGGCGGATGTGTGAGCAGAGACACAATGGGAGAAGGAGCAGCAGAAAGATGAAGTCACTGGGCAGCGGAGACCAGGCTCCACGCTAGGAGCCAGGAAAGTCTCATTTTAAATGACATTAACAGGAGAACGACATTGCACAATAGGTATGGTAGATTAAAAAAAAAAGGGGGGGTGTCACATCAAAATTTCAGTTCTAGCCAGCACGACCGATTTAAGGTCCGTGTCCTGAGTCCCACTCAAATAACAGTCCAAGCATTAAAATGACCCTCATCCAAACGGAATCCTCGTTTTCCTAGAAAAATCCCTCAAAACACTGGGCTGGGAAGAGCAGGCGAGGACTGGAGGGCATGCTTTGCATCTGGGGGGGGGGGTGCGGCCTGATCCCTGGAGCGACGCCCCAGCACCGCCGGGTGTGGCCCAAAAACCAAAAAAAAAAAAAAAAAAAAAAAGGAAACACTGGTTACTTACTGGGTTTCATGGCATTTGGAGCGTTGGAGGGTGCAGGCCCCCAGCCTGTGGTCGACGCGCCCGGCTCCTCCAGCTCGCCCCACCCAGGACTGCTCTCGTTTGGCTCTCCCCAGGCTGAAGTGCCATTATCTGGAGCAGGCGGTGTGCTTTTGCTCCAGACTGTAAGGAAAGGAGACGTGTCTAAGAGCCATTTATTCAAGGAAAAATCAGCAGAGACGTGGGGGAGGGGTGCAGGTGGCTGCAGAGGGCGGGAAGAGGCTTCTTCCTTCACGGAGTTGACAAGGCCTGTTTTTCCCTTTTTTGGGTCCCACCCGGCGATGCTCTGGGGACCCTATGGGATGCCGGGGATCGAACCCGGGTCGGCCGCATGCAAGGCCAATGCCCTCCCCGCTGGAGTATCACTCCAGCCCTGATAGTGCCATTTAAAAAAGGGGAGAAAAAAAAACCAAGTCTGATGAATAACTTGTGAGCCAGAGACTCCACTGCTAGGAAATCACACTAGGGGTTAACACCTGCAAACACAGGTGTGCCTATGTGGACGGCCGTGGCCACGTGTGGCATCACGGGTAGGAAAACTCTGACCGGGAAAGCTCTGATGGCCTCAACAGCAAAAAGGCGACTGAGCAGTAGCGATCAGACACAGAGAACGGCTTGGACGTTCCTTCTGTACAGAGCGTTTCCTTTTTACTTTTTGTTTTTTTTGGGTAGTGCTGGGGGGGCGAGGGGGATACACCATGAGGTGAGCTCGAAGCTCAGTCCCCCACATGCAAAGCAAGCGTTCCAGCCCTTTCAGCTAACTCTCCCGTTCACCACGTAAAGCTTTTAAAGACTATTTTGCTACAAGCACAGACTCCCTCCCTCCCTGTTTTTAGGCCACGCTTCATGGTACTCAGGACTGACTTCTGGCTCTGTGCTCAGGGATCACTCCTGGTGGGCTCGAGGACCACATGGGACGCTGGAGATTGGACTCTCAGCTGCGTGCAAGGCAGGGGTCTTACCTGCTGTACTATCACTCCCGCCCCAAGAACAGATTTTTCTGAATGAAAAACTTCTAAAACACAGGGAAACTGTAGGTAGAAACGTGGAGTGTTTCATCACCTTTTGCTTTTCTCTACATTTGGAGATGTGTACTAGGTAAAATATATATATCTTTTTTTCCTCATGAAAAAAAATAAGTAATCTTGATGATCGTAGGGGAACAACTAATTAAAGGGAATCATTTTAAAAGGCCATAATTAATTTTAGTTGACACCTAGAGACAATCACTCAAAATGACCTAGAAAGTGGCTGAAAATCCCCAGGTTCCAGCTTTGCTACAACACCCTACAGACAACACAAAATAACCAGGTCCCTTTCACGGGATGGGGGCGGGGTGCTGGAGGGAGTGGGCCGGGCAGAGCAGAGAAATACCTACGGAGAAAGCTTCTGCGGGGAAAGTCAGAAAGGAAATCGGGTTTCCTGCTGCTATTTCGTTTTTTTTTTTTAAGTCTAGAGCGTGGTTTGTTTAGAAAGGTATAAATCCTTCGGATTCTGCAGACCAATAATACAGTCACCAAAAACTCCCCTGAGGGGGGCCAGCTGCCAGGCTGCCCTCTTTGGAAACTTTCTGCCAAGAAAGAACATTAAAATGGACTTCCCGCATCCGTTACGGCTACGGTTCTCCCGAAAGAGCGTGTGCGGTAAGATCCCTGCAGGAACAGAGTCCCGCCCGGAAGCAAGAACGCGCTAGCGAGCCCCGCCACCGAACAAGGGTAACGTGCCCTGCTGGCTTTGGGATTTCTCGTCCGCACCGGCACCTGCTTACCTGATGCTGATTTACTGGTCATCGGGGTAGGCAGGTTTGGTTCTCGAGGTGCTGGGCCCCCTTGGGAATTCTTATCCCAGAGATTCACATTCTTGTAGTTGTAACTGTTGGGGTCGCCCCACGCCGAAGTGCCGTCATCAATGTCCATTTTCCGGCTAATTGACTGCGGGGACGGCTCTTCCCAGCCGCTGGGCTCCTCGTCCTTGGGGGCTCCCGGCGGCGGTCCACTGCCCCAGCTGGAGCTCGCCGGTCTCCCGTTGCCCGCAGGGGGCGGCGGGGGGCCTCCCCAGGAACTCGAAGGCTCCGGCTGCGGCTGTGGCTGCGGCGGCGGCTGCTGGGGCGGTGGCGGCTGTTGGTGCTGTTTGTTCCAGGAACTGGGCTGTCTGCCGGTCTCGGTCCAGGCTGGCGAGCGCTTACAGTCTTCCCAGCCGCCTTTGGAGGTCAGGCCGGCGCCGCCCCCGTTGCCCCAGGTCCCGATCTCACTTTGCCCGCCTTCGCCCCACCCCGACACGGGTTTGCCGGCCGAGCTGTCCCAGTTGCTGCCCTTGGCCGGATCGACGTCCTCGCCCCAGCCGTTCTTCCCGGAAGCCCACCCTTGGCCGGGCTGGCGTCCGCCCCCCCAGCCCTGCTCCTTGCCCGGGTTCTCGTTCCACGAGGAGGCGGCCTTCTCGTCCGCCCGGCCCCCTCCCCAGCCGGAGGAGTTGCTGTTCTTGTAGTCGGTCCAGCCGCCCGTGCTCTTGGGGTCTTTCCACTCTGTCGGGGCGGAGAGCTCTCCCCATCCAGACTTCATTTGATTGCTTTGGCTAGGTGCGTCCCCCCAGCCCCCTGAGTTCTTGGTCTGTGTGGCAGCGCTCTCCCACCCCTCAGTCCCCTTGTCCGACTTGCCCTCGGGCCGCGGCGCCTCTTCGATGTCCCACACGGTCTCCTGCTTGATTTGCGTCTGGCCCCAGCCCGTGTTGGAGAGCACCCTGGGGTCCAAATCAGTTCGGCTCAAGAGAGTCTGCAAGACAGCCTGACAATCGGGATGTGCGGGCCGGTACGACCGACGGCCGGAATTGTGGCTGTCGCTACTTCCTGCTTTGTGGTTGCTTCCAGTGCTTTGACCTCCAACCTCACTTCCTGTGGAGCTGGAAGATCGTCCCCAGCAGGGAGCCTGGGCATTGCCTTGGTTTTCAGGGAGGGGGTGGCCCTTTTGATTGTCCCATGCTCCAGTGCTAGAATTTGGTTGGTTTGGACCACTCCATTCTCCAATTTTCAACTCGTCAGACCCAGTCAGCTGTTTCCATTCTCCCTGAGAGACCCCAGATGTCATTTTGTTCCCTTCACCCCATTTGCTGTCGCTCGCGTCCTGCGGGCCAAAGTTCCAGGACCCACCCGTAGACCTGTTATTGTTGTCCCAAGAATCGTTTTTTGACCCACTCGCCTTCTGAACAGATCCCCCCTTCCAGGAGTCCTCTCTCTCCTTTCCATTGTTCCCACTGTTTCCAGAATTGCTTTGTCCAGAGGTTGTGTCAGTTCCAGAAGGCCCCCTAGCTGCACCCCAAGATCCAACGCTCCCAGTCTTTCGATCTCCAGTGCTTTGCGAAGGGGTATCAGTGCCCCTGGAGGCGTTCCCCAAGCCCAGGCCGAAGGCCATTCCCTTATTCTCCAGAGGGTTTGGTGAACTTAAGTTCAAGGAGTTAGTGTTTCCATTTTTTGGTCCATCAGTGTTATGAAGTTGAGCCTGCTCTCTGCCCGAGACAACAAAATTAACACCCGCATTTTCCATCTTTGACTGCTGTTCCCTGGACGCCTGACCGACGGCGGTGACCTGGGCACTGGAATTGCTGTTCTCGGCCTCCAGCGGCCCCTTTCGGGAATTTCCTTCTTGGACCAGTGCTGGCCAGGCAGATGGGTTGCTATTTGGGTTAAAGTTGCTGAAGCCGGAAGCGGGTCCGAGTCTATCCTGCCCACTCACATTCCTCCAATTTCCTAGTCCACCGCTATTCTCTGTCGGAGAGCTGGAAGATTGAACAGACTTAGCCTTGGGGTCCGACTTCCAGACCCCGAGGTTACATTCGTTCCCGGGACTTGCAGACTGGCACTGGCTTCCTTTTCCTTTGTTACTAGTGGTGCTCCCTGGCACAGTGCTCTTCTCGGAGCCAGGGGTTGAGGCACTGTTGTTCTCGGCGGTGTTTTCGGAAGAAGACTCGGTGTCTCTGCTGGCGATGCAAGGCCACTCTTCCATGTCGGACCCGTCTACAATCACCTTGTCCCAGATGTGAGTCGGGTTGGGGGAGGCGCCGCTGTTGGAGGCTCCCGGTCCCCAAGTGGAATTTGCATAATTTGAAGCAGCAGCACCTCCAAGGGTGGACTCTGCGAAGAGAGGGTCGCGTCAGTCACGGCTGCCTCCGGCCCCTCTGCCCGCCGCTCAGTTTTGCTCCCCGGATCCTGCGCTGGGCAGTTCTAGGGAGACCCGGGGGCCTGCCCCGGGATTCATGGCCCAAAAGGATCAGTATCACCCCGTGCACCCCAGCGCTGCTCAGGGTCCCTGGGGATGCACCTGGCGGTGCTTGGGTGCTGGGGACTGAACGGGGATCTGGCTACCAGCCAGGGATGTCCCCGAATCCCTGACTCCTTCCGGCCCCTCTCTATATGTGTTAAGTCTAACTCCACGATGTCTCTCTGAGACACCTGCTTGCCACGACTTTTTCTTTTTTTTTGGCTTTTTGGGTCACACCCGGCGATGCTCAGGGGGAATCCTCCTGGCTCTGCACTCAGGAATTACTCCTGGTGGTGCTCGAGGGACCCTATGGGATGCCATGGATCGAACCCAGGTCGGCCGCGTGCAAGGTCAACGCAGTCCCCACTGTGCCATGGCTCCGGCCCTGCCACAGCTCTTAACACGGAGCCTATCTGTCACGTGAGACTCCGTGATGACACCGGGAGCTTGTTCTGTGACTCTAATCTAAACACCCGTTGGCTGAAGTGCTTTGGCTAAGGCCCTCCTCTGACCATACCAGTGCGAGAGAGAGGGCAGTGGCGTCTGGACCTTGGCTGTGTGAGGAGACACAGCTAAACTCTCTGGCCTAGCATTTGATCGAGCCGTTTCATGTCTGGGAGCAGCTGCACCTGGGTGTCACCTGTCACTAGGCAGTTGTCTACATCCCGCACGCCGGACGGCTCGCAGCCGTGGCCTCTCGCCTGGCACCGGTCCCCATGGCCTCCGAACTGCTTTTCCCCTCCCGAGTGCTCGGACCGAAATTTACCCGCCTTCCTGGGCCAAGGTCAAATGTCATTAACTAACAGGAAGGTTTTTGTTTTTTTTTAGTGCATCACCTACAACCTTTATCTTTCTCTCTAGGGTCACGCTGCTCTGCCCTACCACACGCACCTCCTCTCCCCCTTCGTCTGCCCCTGAGACCCTTCTTGCTTCTCACACGGGGGGGCCGGGGCTCTGCTGCTCAGAGACCACCGTCCTCAAGAGGCCTGAGCTGAGCGTTCTGACTGAGCACACGACTGGCCACATTTGGTGGGGAAATCACGACATATTCAACCCCAGAATTTATTTTCTTCACCCCCACGATTTATTTGAAAACCTCCTGTGGCTACTCTAAGCAGTATTAAATCAATAAAATGTGAAAAACAATGTGCATACAGAATGCTATAAAAAGAAGGGGACTCAAAAATCACGAGATTTAGGGGCCTCCTTGGTTTCAAGGGCACATCGGGTGATTCTGACTCATCTCGGACCCATGTCTCCGGCAGCAGGAGACACAACCTCCCCTCAAACTCTTCCTTTCACAACTTGTTGTTGAGGGGCCACAATTAAGGGCTTTGAGGTCTTTTTTTTTTTTTCTTTTCTTTTCGGGTCACACCTGGTGATGCACAGGGGTTACTCCTGGCTCATGCACTCAGGAGTCACTCCTGGCAGTGCTCAGAGATGCTGGGAATCGAACTCGGGTCGGCCGCGTGCAAGGCAAACGCCCTACCCGCTGTGCTGTCTCTCCAGCCCAAGGGCTCTGCAGTCTTACGGGGTCAACCCTGGGCCCAGCCCGGTGGTCACCGTGCGGAAACCTCCTGAGGACGGCTTCATCTCTGCCTGAGCCCGCTGTCAACACCAGGCTTCTTCCCATCTTGGCTCAGTACATGAGATACTGACAGAACGTTCTAGGCGGCTCTGTTCAAACTGAGAACTAAGTAAAAAGATTTGACCCTTCACTATCATACCATCATCCTTGCTGGGATCCAAGCTCTGAATGTGTAAGAATCTCAAGAAGCATTATTTTTTGTTTGTTTTGCACCCCCTGGTGCTCAGAGCTTACTCCTGATTCTGTGCTCAGGGTGACCCCTTGTGGTGCTCAGGGGACCATATGTGGAGCTGGGGGCTGACGCTGGGTCAGCTGCCGGCAGAGCAAGTCCCCTCCCCCCCCCCGCTTCTCCTAGTTCTCTGGTCCCCCCAGAAACACTGAGAGGTGAGCTGCAATCTTTTAATTAGCTAAAAGACCCAGAGGGTGTTTGGAAGTTCTCAGCTGCTCACTTAAATCTTCCTCTAGTAAATGCTCTCCAAAGCGTTTACTAGAGCAAGTAACTCTAGTACTCAAGGACTTCAGCAAAAGGTCCCCAGCAGCCACATGAAGTTTTCAATAAAGCTTAAAAATGCAGAGGACTCTACAGAAATATTGGCTCAGAAAATGCTAATAAAAATCTAATAGGGGGGTCGGAGCGATAGCACAGCGGGTAGGGTGTTTGCCTTGCATGCCGCTGACCTGGGTTCGATTCCCAGCACCCCATAGGGTCCCCCGAGCACCACCAGGAGTAATTCCTGAGTGCAGAGCCAGGAGTCAGCCCTGAGCATCACCGGTGTGACCCAAAAAGCAAAAAGCAAAAAAAAGTTCTAATAGGAAGGTCCTATTTGGTATTCTCCCGGGATTCTAAGGAGCACTTTGTACTCCAAGTACTCTGGAAACATCACATTCAGACCCCGCCACCTGGCGGCCTCCCTACCCCACGCCCTCCACACACACCCTCCTCCAGGTTCCGTTTCCTAATGCTCCTGTCTGCCACAGGCGGGGCGGGGAGGCCCAAGAACGGGGCCACACAGCAGCGCCCCCAGCCTCCGTGGCGTGTGCCCACACTCTGGCCTCTCAGGTCAGTGTGGGAAGGGGTGGGTGGGTGTGGGGGGGTCTCCAGGCCTCACCTGGTGCAGCCCCGCCCTCGTTCGGCAGCAACGTCCCGGTGCCCGGGGTCCCCGGGGTGCCCGGCGCGGTGCTGGGGTTCGCTCCGGGTGCGGTGGGGAGAGGAGGCCCCGCCCCGCCCCCGAGGAGCATGCACGACGGCGGCGGCGGCTGCCCGCGTTTCAGTAACACTTTGTGGTCCTGCTGGCAACGGAATCGCGGCGGCACCTCCCGGGGCATGTAGCGGGCGGCGCTGGGCGGTTGTCCGTTCGGCACTGCCACCCTTTTGGCATTGTTGCCACCATTGATTGGTGGCGATGGAGAGCTGCCAATGGGGCTGGCGGCCGCTGGTTGGCTTAAACTTGGTTTCGTCACTTCGGGCACTGAAAGAGAAGAGAAGAGAGAGAGAGAGAGAGAGAGAGAGAGAGAGAGAGAGAGAGAGAGAGAGAGAGAGAGAGAGAGATTGGGAAATCGCCTTTAAAATCAGGTCCATTCAAACATGATTGTCACTCATTGCCTCTTTTGCAAACCACAAGACCCAATAAGAGAGAGAGAACAAAAGGGAATGCCCTGCCACAGAGGCAGGGTGGGATGGGGGGGATGGTGGGTGGGAGGGATACTGGGATCCGTGGTGGTGGGAAATGGGCACTGGTGGAGGGAGGGGTATTTGATCATTGTATAACTGAAACCCAAGCACAAAAATTTGTAAGTCTACAACTGTATCTCATGATGTCTCACTAATAAAAAGAAAAATAAATAAAAAGGAAAAAAATAAAATTAGGTCCATTGATTTTTCTGAAGATCAGATCGAGAAATGAGCCCCACGAAAAGCGTTGTGTCCGCCATCCTAGTCTAGGGGGGCAAGGTCCTTCCAACACCCCCCTCCCCACCAGCACCTTGGGGAAGAAGGTGAGACCCCCTTGGAATCACTTTCCCTGAGGCACGAGGAGGGGCGACCACCAAGAGCCTTCTTCTTCTCTTTACCCACATTCCATCCATCCAGGCTGAGCCAGGGGTTGGCCCCGGGCACCCGTGCACAGCAGCCTGGCATCACCCACACCCATAAACACCCCAGTCCTCTGAGGAACTCCTCCCAGCAGTGCTCCTGGCACCCTCGGTCCAGGGCCCTCTGCGTGGAAAGCTGCCGTGACGCCGAGCACTCCCTTTGCACGCCCCTCGACCCTCCGAGCACCTTCATCTTTTGTGCCACAGTCCCGGTGGAGCAGACAGACCCCCCCAGCAACCCTTGGGCCAAAAGAATCCTAGAGTCCATTTGGTTTGGGTTTCCACCATCCCCGGAACTCAGAGACGGTGTGTGATTCACTGTGTAAAGTATCTGAAATGTGGTGTTTGTGTCAAAAGAAATTTTTCGATTGTGATCCCCTACCCCAATTCCTTACTTAAAAATTTCAAAATCAAATCATACAGCAAGTACAACAGCTGCCTTCTATATATATGGCTGACCCAGGTTCAATCCCTGGCACCCCGTATGTCCCCCGAACCCCACGAGGTGTGAGGTCTGACCAGAGCCAGGAATAGCCCCAACACCACTGGGTGTGGCCCAAAAAGAAAAAAAAAAAAGCTCTCCCCCCAATGGCCCAAATTAGATGATTTTCTGATTTACTTTAGGACTTTTTTTGGGGGGGGCTTTTAGGGTCACAACCGGCAATGCTCAGGGGTTACTCCTGGCTCTGCGCTCAGGAATTACTCCTGGTGGTGCTCAGGAGACCCTATGGGATGCCAGGGATTGAACCCGGATTTGGCTGCATGCAAGGCAGACGCCCTCCCCCACTGTGCTAACACTCCAGCCCCCTGATTTACTTGAAATCATTTAATGCCACGCCTTGCTTTAAAAACAGCTAAGAGGGAAGGGTGGGAGGTGGGGGTGACTATGAGGCTATGGGCAGGGCCCCTCTGAGATGCATCTGCATTTGGCCTCACCATCCTGGCCCCTGCTGTCCACTCCCTGGCACGGGACCTGCTGGGACTACAGAAAGAGCCTCAAGCCCGACACCCCCACACCAGCTCTAGAGGCCCGGGCCGCGCTGACTGCTGGGACGCCGCTGAGCTGGCCCGTGACTCACAGAAGCTCCGTGCATCATCAGAATTCAGGGGCCCCGTCCATCCCCATGGGGCACTGCCTAGCACTCTGAGCAAGAGAAAAGAGAAGCTTCCAGAAGGCAACCCCTGGGTCTGACAAGCGAACCACAAGGCAGCGCTGGCCCTGACAGCAGGGAGGCCGGGGAGTCCCTGTGCCGATGGCCAGCGTGCTGGCTGACGCCTGGTTAGCCAACACCCTCAGCTTGACCCGAACGGCCAGTGGATAAATAAGGGATAAATGAAGGATGAAGATGGACTGCTGAGTGACTCACTTTCGGACACGAGCAGTGAGAATCTGAGAACATGAGGCTTTCATTCCCTGTCCCCTCATATGCTCAGGAATTACTCCAGGTGGTACTCGAGGGAGAAGGAATCATCTGCTGGCAAAGGTCAGGGTGGGGTGAGGTGGAAACGGGATTCTTCCCAGAGCAGGGCCCCTCACTTTATTATTATTATTATAATTATATGGGGGGAATGGTATTTGGCCATACCCAGCTGTAATCACGGTCGATTCCTGGTTGGGGCTCGGGGGGACCCTCTGGGGTGCCGGGGACTGAACCTGGGTGGGCTGTGTGCCAGGCCAGCACCCTCCCCGCTGTACTGCCGTGCCACCCTGACACCTTACTTTAATTCTGCTAGTTACAGGCCAAGGCTCATTTCTCTAAAACGGAGTCAAGACAGAAGATGAGACGCCACAGAACTGAGGGCTCGGCCTCCGGCGTGGCTGACTTGACCAGACTCCCGCCACCACCGAGAGATCTGGACGGCGTCCCGTCCGGTCCCATATTGTGCAAGGTTCCCTGCAGAACTTCCTCGGGGCATTTTTCCATCATCGCATCACAGAGGACCATAAATTAGCAAGTCACTGTAAAGCCGGGCTCACTCAGGGCCACTTTCCTCCCGGCACTGACTCGCCTGGAGACTGTGCGTGTCCAAAATTCTTCGGAAAAAATAAAAGAGCCTGAAAGTAGACTATAGACCAAACATGATTGCCCACTCATGGCCTCTTTTGCAAACCACAACACCCAAAAGGAGAAAGAGAACAAATGCCCTGCCACAGAGGCAGGGTGGGATGGGGGGATGGGGGGTGGGAGGGATACTGCGATCCGTGGTGGTAGGAAATGGGCACTGGTGGAGGGATGGGTATTTGATCACTGTATAATTGAAACCCAAGCACAAAAATTTGTAAGTCTACAACTGTACCTCATAGTGTCTCACTGTCGCACTGTCCTCCCGTTGTTGTTCACTGATTTGCTCAAGCTTGCCCGGTAACATCTCCATTATGAGACTTGTCGTTACTGTGTTTGGCATGTAGAATACATCATGGGTAGCTTGCCAAGCTTTGCCGTGTGGGCAAGATACTCTTGGTAGCTTACCGGGCTCTCCGAGAGGGGCAGAGGAATCGAACTCGGGTCGGCCGAGTGGGCCATGTGCAAGGCAAACGCCCTACCCGCTGTGCTATCGCTCCAGCCCAGGTGTCTCACTAATAAAAATTTAAAAAAAAAAAAAAAAAAAAGAGCCCGCAGGGCTGTTTTTGTTGCTGTTGTTCTCGGTGGGAGCTTTGCGGGAGCAGCGCTAGGGAAGACAAGTGATTCCAGGGCCAGAACCCAGGGCCCTGTGACCTGAGCATAAAAATAAAAGTACAATAGGGGTCAGAGCGAGAGGACAGTGGGCAGGGCACTTGCCCTGATGCTGCCAAGCACAGTTCGATCCCCGGCATCCCGAAAGTCCCCTGAGCACCGCCAGGAGTGATTCCTGAGTGAAGAACCAGGAGGAACCCGTGGACAGCATAGTTGTGGCCCAAAACCACAAAAATAAATTAGAAAATATATGTAAAGTAAAAAGAAAGCCAATGATTACGTGGCTATGGGTTGGGGAGATAGCTCGGTGGGCCCGAGCGGGTACTGCTTGGTCCCCTGGGACAGTGCCGGAGGCCAGAGACATGGTAGAACAGGTAGGGCACAGGCGTTGCACATGGCCAGCCCGGTTCAATCCCTGGCATCATACATGGCCCCCCTGAGTCCCTCCGGGAGTGATCCCCGAGCACAGAGCCAGGAGTGAAAATAAATGAAAGTGAAAGAACGGATGAAGTTCTTAAAAAGTCACCATATACAAGGGGCTGGAGCGATAGCACAGCGGGTAGGGCCTTTGCCTTGCACACGGCCAACATGGCCAACCTGAGTTCGATTCCTCCGCCCCTCTCGGAGAGCCCGGCAAGCTACTGAGAGTATTTCGCCCGCAAGGCAAAGCCTGGCAAGGTACCCGTGATGTATTCGATATGTCAAACACAGTAACAAGTCTCACAATGTTACTGGGCCCGCTCAAGCAAATCAATGAAAAATGCGAGGAGAGTGACAGTGACAGCGACCATATACAATTTAGAAACTCTAGTCATTAGAGTAGTTCAATGTGTGCGTGTGTGTATGGTGGTGGTGGGGGGGGGAGTGTAAATAAACAGAAAATAGTATGGCCAGCATTTCCCAGAATAGTTATTTCTGTTTGACAGAGATCATGTTTCATTCAAGCCATAGGAAAGTGAGAAATTATGCTCATATTTTGAGCAGTTCTTCGTTAGAAAAAGTTGCGCAAGAACCTCCAGGTTTTTAAGAAGAGAGTGTGTCTCCTTCCAGGTCACACTTGGTTGGTTGCTTTCTGGTCTGTTTGGGGGCACACCCAGCAATGCTCGGGGGTGACTCCTGGCTCTGAGCTTAGAAATTGCTTCTGGTGGGACTCAGGGGACCATATGGGGTGCTGGGGATCGAACCCAGATTGGCCATGCGCAAGGCAAGTGCCCTCCCCACTGTCCAAAGGCCTCCGTAAGCTATTTGAGGAGACGCGTGAGCACACCCAATCTGTCAGCTCTCCGACTTTGGGAAGAAGTTGAACAGGGGTTTCTGCCAAGTGTGGTAATGTTCTCCATCTGCAGCTCTGACTGGCTTATTTACTCACATTGTTTGTAGGGGGGATTTTTGTTAACCTGATGGTGGTGGTGGTGTGTGTTGGGGGGAGTGACCATGTGAGGTGCCAAGGATGGAATCTGGGTGGGCCACGTGCAAGGTGAGTGCCCGGCTCACTGTACCATCTCACTGGCCCACCAGAGAAACCTTTTGAAAAGATGGTTTCCATATCATCCTCACCTACCATAAAATATTTTGATTTTTTTTCCAACACTTAAAATCTATGAAGCAGGTCTTAGCTCAGGGGCAGTACAGAAACACGGGGACATGGACGTGTGAAGGGCCGTGGCTCTGTGGCACCCCTCATCAGAGCTGTCACCGGCCGC